CAAGATCTGCTGGAGAAGGGATAGTCTATCCACTCCAGTATTCTTGGGCTTCCCTTATGGCTCAGGTGGTAAAGAATCCACTTGCAATGAGGGAGACCTGGGTTTGATCCCTGGGTTGGGAAGATGCCCCAGAGAAGGGAGAGGTTACCCACTCCAGTATTCTGGTAGAGAATTCCATGGACTCTATAGTCCATAGGGTTGCAAAGAGTCAGACAAGACTGAGCAACTTTCACTTTTCATGGCTGAATAATAATCTTCTGTTGTATATGTGTACCACATCTTTATCCATTCTTCTGTTGATGGACATTTAGCTTGTTACTACCATGTCTTGGCTATTGTAAATAATGCTGCTTTGAACATAAGAGGCGTATGTATATTTTTGAATCCTAGTTTTGTCTGGATATATGCCCAAGAGTCGACTGCTAGATCATATAGTAATTATATTTTTTAGTTTTTTAAGGAACCTGTACCAGTTTATATTCCTACCAACAGTGTGGGAGGGTTCCCTTCTTGCCACACCTTCCCCAGCATTTTGAGACTTGTTAATGATGGCCATTCTGACGGCTGTGAGGTGGTACCTCATTGTAGTTTTGATGTCCATTTCTATAATAATTAGCAGCGATGAGCTAGCTAATGTGCCGAGTGGCCATCTGTGTTTCCTCTTTGGAGAAATGTTGTTTTAGATCTTCTGCCCATTGTTGGATAGGATTATTTGTGTTTTTTTTGTTGTTGAGTTGTGTGAGCTGTTTATACACTTTTGGAAGTTAAACCCTTGTTGACCACATCATTTGCAAGTATTTTCTCCCATTTTGTAGGTTGTCTTTTTATTTTGTTTATGGTTTCCTTCGCTGTGCCAAAGCTTATGATTAAGTCCCATTTTATTTTTATTTCTATTGCCTTGGAAGACTGACCTAAGAAAACATTGGTATAATTTATGTCAGAGAATGTTTTGTCTCTGTTCTCCTCTAGAAATGTTACAGTGTCTTTAATAATGGCTAAAATTTTAAAACAAACACTACAAGGTATCTCCTTATGTCTGTCTGTCTGTATGTCTACCTCCAAATGGTATTGCTAGAGTTAATTTGTAAAGAGCTCTATTTAATTAGGTTTTATAGACAGATGTTACATAAATCATATTCTCAGAAATATTGAAACTAACCTAAGTGTTTTTCAGGTTCATATGATCTAGGATAATATTCAGTAAATAAAAGTTAGTTTAAGTCTGTTGCTTTAAGGAAAACAGGCATGTCATTAAAGTTATTGACATAAAATATATTTTTATTCTACCTAGGTTTACTAAAAAGTAAGCTGTCATCTCTCTTACAGAATTTGTCGGCAAGAAAGATAACTTAAGATGCTTAGCTGTGTAACATCTTGTGAGATTTTCATGACTGAACATAATTGTTGAGAACAAGTAAATTAAATAGAGGCAAGATAAAAAGTTTATAAATAAACTTTCCAACAACAGTTATACTTTACCGGTATGTCTACTTAAAAATAGTTTCCAAAATCTTTTTGGTAACTTGAAACCTTAAAGTTATACTGAGAGAAGTTAAGTGATGGACATTCATTAGGTATCAATGAATATCTAGATCATTTCCAAATAAGATAAAAATTCTGACACATTAATTACTGAACAAATTTTTATCCACTTTTGGCTTTTATGGAGGAACTAAAGATATTTGGGTCTCTCTGTAAGCAAGTTTTGTGCCACACTGGAAAATTAAAGGATACATGTGCTTCTAGAAATTATAAAATTATTATTGCCAGTCCACAGAATGCTAGTGCTAAGGTAGTGTTCACTAAGAAGTAAGGATTCTAAGGGTTAAAAACTCTAATCACTAAGTCATTAAAACTACTCAGATAGTAAGGGTGAAAGGAAACTGTATGAAAAGTAGATAAGGAAAATAAAATGACAGTCTCAGGATGAGGAAGAGGAGAAAATCTGGGACAGAGCCTGGATGCACAATGTCTGTGGAAAAGGAAGTGTGTATGTGGTCAAGCAGGCTAAGACTGAAATGGATTAAAGTTTTTCTTAAAAAATTAGTTTTACTAGCAAAATACACTGGTGCAAAATTAGAATTTGACTTTTCCCTCTGTTAAAAGGATAAAAAGTCCTCTTCAACTATTGTCCTGCTGTTTATAAGATATTGTAAAGAAAGAGTTTGTGTTTGTTTTACCTTTTAAGTAATCTATGTGGACAGCAAAAATTTTGTATGTTACCAGAATAACTGACTATTTCATATTGTTTTTATCAGATCTTCACTTAACAAAACCCAGTCTTCTAAACATTAAGAACACTAACTTTTAAGGTAAACTTTTGTATTTCCCTTTAATATCTGCTACTGTCACCTTGCTTAAATAGACAAGTACCATTGTATCAATGATCTGTGATCCTACTGAATTAAATGTTCAATCCTTTTGACATTTTCTCATCAAATTATTAAATAGATGGACTCCATGCTTCCACTCCAAGGGGCGCAGGTTCCATCTCAGGGTGGGGAACTAAGATCCCTCATGCTGTAGCCAAGAAATTTAAAAACAAACAAAAAAATTACTGAGATTCTTTTGATCTCAAAGTAAACTCATGTTTTCCAGGAGCCCTCTGGGAAATCAAAAGATTTGCCTCTCATCTTGTAAATAAGATGTTAAATACTTGGGTTTAGTTGATATAATATGTGGGAAGAATTGTCAAATAAGAAATGATAATGATAAACCTTCTTAGGTTATATTTGTATCAACATATGTTCCTAGTATGTATTCCAGAAATTGTCTGAAGTTTCTAGAAATGTATCAATACTTTAGGATAATCATTGGATAGTGAGAGTATTGTATGCCACAGAAATAACTGCATTTCCTTATCAAATGAAACCTCATCAGCTCTTTAATCACGTACATTTCTCAGTCTTTTGTCCTTTACAGACAGTTACTGTTTTACGGGTATGCTTTTGGAAAGGGCAGATTTATGGAAAGCACCCTACAGGAGACTCTTGACCACTAACACCACTGCCAAGTTACAAGGTGTGGAACCTCGGCTGTGAATTTCATAGCTGAAGGCCCCCCCCAGACATCTGGTCCTGTGCAAATGTTGGAGACCACGAATCAAACCAACCAGGAAGAGAAGCGGCTGCCATCATGGTAGGATACTCCCTCCTAAGAGGGCTGAGAACATTTCTCTCCACTCCTCCTTCCCTCTATGACCCTTCTACTCACGTTCTGTGAGCGCTTCTCCAGCCTGGAAAGAGAATGCTGTTGTCGCAGGGTCTGACACGCGTCTGAAGATCCTATAGTTCTGTCCATCACAAACTCCGCCCTGATGCCCAGAGCAACAGTTTCCCTGGAGCAAACTCGGCCTTCTCTCTATCATATCAAGACCCTGGGTCTCTCTCTCCATCTCTGGTTGACAACCCCCAAGCCAAGGGACTACTACATCTAGGCACTGGGCGGAGAAAGTGACACCAGCACAAAAACAACTGGGAAGCCTGCAGATCGTGGCATTTCCCCTCCTGAGCCTCAGACTAAGCCACAGTTAGCAGAAGGCATTCGTGATTCAAAAATCCCTTCCCTTGGCAGCTCTCCACTGCCCTGGCTAGGAGAAGGTGCAAGATGAGGCTGTGGTCAGGAACCGCTCCTAAACTCTTTAAGACACTGCAGACGCTGCCCAACAAAATCCCCCCGAGTTGTTCTTGACTCCAGGACAGTGAGCAATTACCTTTAGCTGAGCACTGAGGTGTCTGTTCTGGCCAACACTGCTTGCTACGTCTGGACTAACAGCCCTGGGGAAGTGGAAACTCAGCTCCCTGAGGTCACTAAACAAGCCGCTGGGCTGCATAAAGTATTGTCTTCAGCAGGCTCTTTCCTGACTTATGTGACTTTGGTGTAGGTCTCACGGCCCCAGACACTCACTGGTGGTGATCCTGCTGGGAAAGCCTTAATGTGTGTCTGCAGCACTCACCACCAAGCCGACCAAGCTCTCCCTCAGACTGGAGCAACAAGAGAAGAGGAGCAGAAAGAACCAACTTAAGACTGTGAACCAAGGTCAGGACCTGTGAATGCCACAGATTCAGCACAACTGGCGCAAACTCCAATGCAGCAGCTGAGAGGAGCGCCAGTGCCTTAAATCTCAATCAGGATTCTCAGGCTGAGAGTCTGATTAAAAGATAAGTTAGTAGGCCCAAAGCAGAGTCACCTAAAGGAAGCCCCGCCTTCACCAAACTTGAGACTATCAGTGTTGGCTCCCCCAGAACCCAAGCCTGAAACCATCAGTCTGGAATCATGTGACCTGCACCAAAAAGGTGACCCACTGGACAGACAGACCCCTGCCATCACCTACAAGACAGTAACCTGGTCACAACCCACCTTCCTGCCCAACTGGGCCAGCTGACCAGGCATCACTCACAGAAGCCACTGCAGATCCAGCCCAGGCAGCCAGACACCCACTCAGCACCAGCCGGGTGGGGAAGGGGACACAAAGTGAGTTAACACAAAACATCCTGCTCACTCGTGGACCTTGAGGCATATCAGACCAGCTACAGTGCACTCAGGTATTTCAAAGAAAGAACGGGTACAGAAAACAAGAAGCTTTTGTTCTCCCTCAAATGGCTGTTGAATTTATTTGCTTGATCAATAATGGTCCTGGCAAAAATTAGTTAACCAACGCTGAGACAACTGTAATGAAATACTGATTGTAAAAATTCATGACACCGTGATAGAAATTAGAGTTTACACAAACAAAAAAGAAACCTTCAGTATTGCCAGCAAATATAAAATAAATGTAATATGACCGACAGGACAGCAAGAAGGCTTTTATACATTTATATTTGACACCTGACCATATTTTCAGTCACCATAATATCTTCTCTCCAGGTTTAAAAAAATAGTATGCTGATTTCTATAACAAAGCTTTTTTTTCGTACAAAAATCAAATAATGGCCAACAAGTCACAACAGTGCAATAGGTAGAGAATAAAAAACCGCATTAACCAGGTGCTGAAATAAATACTAACCAGGAGAAGAGGATGTGCCCTCATGGGGTGTTTCCATCACCAGGACGTGTGCGTTTGTCTTCACAGTCCAGAGCCTCTTGGAGCCACTTGCTCGGACCCAGCGGCACTGGACCCCGGTGCCTGTGAGCCGGACGCCTAGGGTAACCAAGGTCGTGGGGGCAGGGGGAGGGTCAGGACCGCGGCTGACTCCCGAGGAAGTCCGATTCCTGGTACTCAGCCTGGCCCACCGGGCGTCCAGCAGTTCGCCGAGCCTGTGTGGACACTGACTGCAATCCTGTGTGAGCGCGTGGTTACCCACCGATATGGCTTTATGCAGGCAGACACGCTTACATTCGGGCCCGAGCAAGCCACCCACGGCGCTCTGTCCTAATGGAAGGTCGAAGAAACATGCTGTGTGGACGCCCCGGGTCCTCCCACGACCCAGGCCACCGCGGTGACTCGGGCGGAGCTGAGAGGGGAGGGTGAGTGGGGCCGGCCGTTCAGGAAGGAGGCCCCCAGGACCCGCACCGCGGAGGTGTGAAGGCACAGGCGAGTGGCGGCAGCGAGATCCTGGGGACGTGGCGGGCGGGGCGGCCCCATGTGGCTCCCCCATGAACGAGAGAAAAATCCTGATTCTGCCGTAATAAAAAAGCAAAGAAAGACGATTTTTGGTTTAAAAAGAAGCCACTCAAGGGTTAAAATAGTTATTTAAGTTAACAAAGGAAATGACTCTTCCAAGAAGCCACTGCCTGGGACACCGGTGTGCCAACCAGCAGTCCCCGTCTCCGGAGGCCCGCGCGGCCCGGCTAGCTTTCAGATGGGCGTCTCCTTCCGCTCCCTGCCGGGCGACGGCCTCGCCTGCTCCTTGGCGGCCGGGGGCGGGGGCGGCTCCCTGGCGCTGGGCTCGGGCTCCGGCAGGGGCTCGGGGCGCGCGCGCTGCAGCTGGAGCAGGCGAAGCTGCACCCGCAGCTCGATGATGGCCTCGCGCTCCTCGTGAATGGCCTGGTTCAGGTGGTTGTTCTTGATCTGCAGGAACAGACGCAGTGGCCCGTCAGCGAGGGGTCGAGACCCCGGAAACGGTCAGGCTGAGCCACTGTCCCTCTGTGGACCCGGGGGGGCTCCCTCCTTCCCGGGGTTGTTTTCCTGCTCAGCACTAACACGATCTGTAAACTGTGGGGCAGAGCGAGCTGCTGTCCGGGGCCTGTCGCCCGGCCCCCCAAATGGCTCTGGGGCCAGCAACCCCGGGTGGGGGGTCCTGGGTGGGGTTCTCTGTTGTGTCCCAGCCCCTGCCGGAGAGAGAGACAGCAGCCCAGGCCCATAGGCCCGTGTGAGACGAGGAGCGAGTCCGATAAGCACGATGCGGACCCCTCACACTCCCAAGGGTGGCAGGCCCGCGCATGCGCACCTCCAGCTCCTCGTTCTGCCGCTGCAGATCCTGCAGGATGAGCTGCAGCTCGTCCTCGTCCTCGCTCTCGCTCTCACTGTCCGACGAGTACTCCTCGGTCTCGCTGCGGCCGTGCTGCTGGCGGCTGTGCGGGGACAGACGGGGCGGGGAGCGCCTGACTCACCCTCACATACAGGCTGGTAGTCAGCATCCGGACTGCCCAGCTTTCTAGGTATGGAAGGGGTCGCTCTGCCTGGCCCCGTCACAGGAAGGGCTGAGGCTGGACCGCCCTGCTCTCCCCAGAGTCCAAGCGGAGCCCCGACCCCTGCCCTCACCTCTGGATCTCGGCGATCTCTGCCCGGAGGCGCTCGATTTCTTCCTTCTCCGAGGCAATCTGTCGGCGCAGGAACTGCTCCATGGCTAGGAGCTCCTCCTGCTCAGTCAGGATCTCGTTCTCCTAAAGCAGTGACACTGGTGAGCACCTCTAAAAGTCTAGGAAAGGTCGCTCTTCTGGGGTCTCCTCTGCTGCCCTGAACTATTTACACCCATACACAAAACACTGGGGCGTCTGTGGTAGTAAAGAATATGCCTGTAATGAAGGAGACCCGGGTTCCATCCCTGGGTGGGGAAGATCCCCTGGAGAAGGAATTGGCAACCCACTCCAGTATTCTTGCCTGAGAAATCCCATGGACAGAGGAGCCTGGCAGGCTACAGGCAGGCTACAGGCAGGCTTTGGAGTTACCAAGAGTTGGGAGTTGGACAGGACTGAGTGACTAACACTTCACACTTCATACACGTTAACACACACGTTACAGGAAAGCTTGTACTGCACACCCCTAAAATACCCAGTTTCCCTAATTTCAAGACTACCTTTGAGAAATGGTAGACTAACTTGTTTGGGAGGAATGACTAGATTTTCCTCGACAAAAAACGCTACTTAGGAATCCTTGTTATGCAAAGGATTTATAAGAGGCCGGCCGGCAGGCACACAGCAGAGTAGAGTGACTCTGTTTTTACCCCCAGCCTTTCGGAACACCTTCTCACAGAGAGTCTGTCTGAGGGCCACAGGGGCCTTCAACAGTGTCACCAGGGAAGAAAGGCCCCAGCGATGTGCAGCTGTTGTCAGTATCACCTGAAAGCAGAGCTGGTGATGGAAAAGTGTTCACAGAAGAAATCTTTCCTCCTCAACACAAGCCACTGTCCTCTCAACCCATGTCCCCAGGGATAATATTTAATCAGTAAATATTCTCCCTTAACAGAATATGCATTTCTAAAACTGACATCTGTCCAGGATCTAGCTAGCCCCTCCAATCCAGAGAAAAGAAAAACAGCAGACAAAACTTAGGAAAGAACAGAGATGGAAAGCTATAGAAATGAGCTGGAAGCAGCCAAGGCCTACATTTCTTTCCAAACTAGTAGCAGGAGGATAAGAACCTGTGATCAAACGTGAAAGGCGCTGCGGTCAAGTTCACTTTAAAGTCAATGGCCTGAAGTCTCCAGTGTGTTTAAGAAACCTCTCTCAGAGCTGTGCTCCTCACAGTCCCCAGCGTTTCTAAACAAAGGTGCTCATCCTTTTTATGAAAGCTAATGTTACAAGAAAAACCAGGCTGAAAACTCTAAAATAAAGATGCATCTGGGACCTCACTCTCTCTTCAGAAGAGAAGAGTTACATGTCCCTGGTAGGCATGACATAAAAGGACTAAAACTTGTAGAACTTTAGTTATCTCTGCGATACAAGGATGGTTCAACACAAATCAATGAATGTGATACAACACATTAACAAAATGAAGGATAAAAATCATATCTCAAAAGATTCAAAGAAGCACTTGAAAACATTCAACATCCTTTCACAATAAAAACTCAACAAAGTGAGTATAAAAGGAATAGGTTGACATGATATGCTGATATGACAGGCCTACTACAGGTAACATGGTACCCCAGTGAAAGGCTGAAAGTATTTTCTTCTAAGATCAGAGAGAGGACAATAGGCCCAGTCTCACCACTTCTGGTTATGCCGTACTGAAGTACCAGCCAGAGTAACTGAACAGGAAACAAAGGTGTCCAAACTGTAAGGAAGTAAAATTGTCTGTTTACAGACAACATGATCTTATACACAGAAAACCATAGATTCCATCAAATAACTGTTAGAAGTAATAAATTTAGGAAAGTTGCAGGACACAAAGTCAACATTCAAAAACCAGTTGCATTTCTACACACTAACTACTATCCAAAAAAGAAATTCAGAAAACAAATCCATTTACAAATTTACAATAGCACTAAAAAAAAAAAAAAAGACTTTAGAATGAATTTAAACAAAGAGGTGAAATATCTATATACTGAAAACTATAAAACATTGATGAAAGAAACTGAAGACACTAAATATAAAATGAAAGGTACCTCATGTTCATAGATTAGAAGAAATAATATTGTTAAAATTTTCATACTACCAAAGTGATCTACACATTCACTGGAATCTCTATCAAAATTCCAATGGGGTTTTGAGGTTTCCCACAGAAACAGAAAAAATAATCCTCAAATCCATTCAGAACCACAAAAGACTGTAAGAAGCAAAGCAAACATTTTTTTTTTCAGCCAAAGCAATCTTAAACAAAAGAACAAAGTTGAAGGCATCACCCCACAACCACAACAGTGCAGTACTGGCATAAAAACATACATACAGACCAATAGAGCAGAACAGAGTCCAGAAACAAATCCACACATTCACAGTCAACTGATCTTTGACAAGGACACTAATAACAATGGAGAAAGAACAGTCTGTTTAATAAACAATGTTGAGAAACTGGTTTTCCACAGGCAAAAAAGTGAAACAACCCTTACCTTCTCTCACTACACACACAACAGTCACCTCAAAATGGACTAAAGACAAATATAAGACCTGAAATCATAAAATTATTAGAAGAAAACACAGTAAGAGTTTCTTAACACTGGTCTGAGCAAGAATTTTTTTAGACATGACCTGAAAAGCACAAATATACAATAGACAAATGGGACTGCAAACTAAAAAGCTTCCACACAACAAAGAAAATGGAGTGAAGAGACAGCCTACGGAATGAGAGAAAATACTGCAGACCTTACATCAGATGAGGGATTTCGTATATATAGGAAGAAGTTGAACAACTCTACAGCAAGAAACAACCCAATTAAAAAATGGGCAAAGGACTTAAATTGACATTTCTCAAAAGAAGACATTGAAATGGCCAACAGATCACTGTCACTCATCATCAGGGAAATGCAAATGAAAACCACAATATCACCTCATACCTGTCAGAATGGCTTTTATTTAAAAAAAAAAGAGGTAACAAGTGTTGGTGAGGATGAGGAGAAAAGGAACCCTTGTGCACTGTTAGTGGGAATATAAATTGGTACAGCGACTGTGGAAAACAACATGGAGGTTCCTCCAAAAATACAAAATAGAGCCATCACAGTTCTAGCAATCCAGCTTCTGAATATATAAATGTAAACAGGATACTGAAGAGATATGTTCACTGCAGCATTATTCATATCAGTCAATATATGGAAACAGCCCAATGGTTGATGGATGAATGGATAATAACGTGATATGCATATATTCATAAAACCTAAGTATACATATGCCCACATAAATATAAAAACATAGAAAACATAAACATACATATATATGTAATGAATATTATTCTGACATAAGGAAATCCTGGCATTTAATAGCACAGATGAACCTGGAGGACATGGTGGTAAGTGAAATAAGCCAGTCAGAAAAAGACAAATACCATATGATTTCACTGATTATTTGTGGAATCAAAGAAAAAGTTGAACTCATAGAAGCAAAGAGTACAACCGTGGTTACCAGACCTTAGAGAGTGAGTAAAATAGGGAAGTACTGGTAAAAAAAAAATACAGCTGCCTTGTATTGAAGGACTGTCTAGAGAGGCAATGCTGATGACACTGTACTAAGTGCTGGATTATGCCATGAGAGTATCTTTCAGGTGCTCTCATCACAGAAGGTTAACTGTGAGAGGGTAACTGACTGTAGCAATCATTTCACTGGGTGGAGATGCATCAAATCATGTTTATACCTTAAATATATATTTTTCTTTTTTTTTTAAAGATATTGCGAAAGAGAGGAGTTATACTTACCTGGGCAAGAAGAATATTTATGACTTCCTCGTTTTCATTCATTTCTTCTTTGGAGACATCCTCTTTTGAAAGACTGGCTATTTCTTGTGCAATCTTGGTTTCACATTCCTGTCCAACAAAAGAAATGAAAGCACTGGTCAGCCCACTGTAACACAGTCAACAATATTACACTGTCCCCATTCCCAAAATTTCCTCCTCAGCTTCTAGAACTGAAAAACGAAGAGTGACACAGCCAGCAGAATCTCCAGACAGGGGGGCAGATGCTAACTGGGCTTTGACAGTAACGTGTAGATCTCACACTGTGGATGCACTGGAGGAAAATGTTCAGTTTCAGCTAACGTGCTCAGAATTTCTGGAACCCTCCCATATAAACTGCCTTCCGTGATCCTTCCTTTTTGGAGGGGGGTCTACTTTAAGCCTACAGTTAGTTGGTTTTGCCAAAGGTACACAGTCAAGTAGCCACTGTCTACCACAACACTGAACATCTTCAACACCACAAAGTACCCTTGGGCTCCTCTGCCACCAGTTGCCCCTGGAAACCACTAACCTGCTTTCCATTGCTCTGGTCTCACCTTCTTTTATGTTTCATAAAAACTGAATTAATCAGTAAGCAGTCTTTCTCCTGGCGCGTTAAATTTCACAACTCATCTATGTTGTATCAGTAGTTTGCTGAGTAATATGCAAGGATATGAATGTACCCCAGTCTGTTTATCCGTTCACCAGCTGGTGGACATTTCAGTCCTTTCTACTTTTGAGCTACTAATCAGACCTGTAAAAAACACTAAGTATCTGCTCTGTGAGGGAACATGCCTTCTTCTGTTAGATAAATACCTAGGAGTGGGATTGCTGGGCCAGTGATAACCTGATGTTTAACTCTGAAAGAAACTGCCAAACTATTTTCCAAAATGACTGAAACAGTCAAGATCAGTCAAGCAGAGCTCCAGCTGCTCTACGTTCCTGTCCACACTTGGTATTTTTAATACTGGTCATTATGGCTGGTATGCAGTGGTTTCTCACTGTGACTGTGGTCTGTTCTTCCTCAATGACAAACAATCTTCACATGTGCTTCTTTATCATCTATATATATTCTCTGGTAAAGATCTTCAGTAAAGTTCAAACTTTTGCCTTTTTAAAATTGAATTTGTATTGTAATAATCATACACTTTGTGGAGGATATTAATAATGAGGGAAGCTAGGCATATGGGGTAAAGGAGTATGAATTCTCTGTACCTTTCCCTCAGTTTGGCTGTCAACCTAAAACTGCCCTAAAAAAATTCAACTTAAAAAATTGGCTTGTCTTCTTAAGTCTAAAGAGTTTTTAATATATTCTAGTTCAAGAACTTTATCAAGTGTCTGTTTTTTTGCAAATATGTCACAGCCTCTGGCCTGCACGTTCATCTTTTTAACAATGTCTTTTGAACAGTGTGTTTTGATAAAATACAGTTTCCCACATTTTTCTTTTATAGTTCATCAATCTTTCTATCCTATTTAAGAATCACTCAAACAGCTCATACAACTCAATAACAAAAAAAAACAAAAATCCAATTGAAAAATGGGCAAAAGACCCAAATAGACATTTCTCCAAAGAAGACATACAGATGGCCAACAAGAAAATGAAAAGATGAAATCATCATTGCTAATTATTAGAGAAATGCAAATCAAAACTACAATGAGGTATCACCTCATACTGGTTAGCATGGCCATCATTAAAAAGTCTACGAATAATAAATGCTGGAGAGGGTGTGGAGAAAAGGGAACCTTCTCATACTGTTGGTGGGAATTTAAGTTGGTATAGTCACAATGGAAAACAGTATGGAGGTTCCTCAAAATACCAAAAAAGAGAGTTGTCATAGAATCCAGTAAGCCCACTCCTGGGCCTATATCCTGGGCCTATATCCAGATAAATCTATAATTCACAAAGATACATGCACCCCTAATGTTCACAGCAACACTACTCACAACAGCCAAGACATGGGAACCACCTAAATGGCCACTGACAGGTGAATAAAGAAGATATATATCCACATATCTATATATAAACACATATACAATGGAACACTATTCAGCCATTTAAAAGCAGTAATGCCATTTGCACCAACATAGATGCAACTAGAAATGATCATACTAAGCAAAGTCAGTCCCCTTATACATGGAATCTAAAATGACTTGAACTTATTTATGAAACAGCAAAAGACCCACAGATACAGAGAACAGACCTGTGGTTGCCAAGGGAATGGGAGCATGAGGGAGGAATAGGGGTTAGCAGGGTTAGCAGGAAGAGCAGGTTAGCAGCTGCGAGGCTGGGGTTAGCAGATGCCAATTATTACATGCAGGATGGATGAACAACAAGGTCCTACTGTACAGCACAGGGAACTCTATTCAATATCCTTTGAAAATCCATAATGTAGAAGAATATGAAAAAGAATGTGTATCTGTGTGTGCATGGCTGATTCACTTTGCTGTAATTAAAACAACACTAAATCAACTATACTTCAATTAAAAAAAAATAACCACCTAAGTCAAAGTCAGTAAGATCTTCTCTGTTTTATTAAGTCTTAGTCTACGGTTCATTAAGCACTAATTTCTAAATATGTTGTGTGGAAAGGGGGAAAAAAGTTCTCTTTTTTGGCATATAGATATCCAATTGTTACAGCACCACTTGTTGAAAAGAAAAAACTTCCTAAGTCAATTGTCTTAGTATCTTTGTTGAAAATTACCTGCCCATACATGTGTTGGTCTGTTTCTGGACTTTCTATTCTGTATGCCCATCCTTATTGAATACTGACTGTCTTGATCACTGTAGCTTTACAGAAAATCTTCATCAGGTGGTGTGAGTCTTCCAATGTAGTCCTTTTTCAAAATGGTTTCGACTATTCTAGATCATTTATATTTCCACATAGGTTTTTTTTCCACAGAGATTTTAGAAAAGTTTATTAATTTCTACCAAAATCACCTGTTTAAATTTTGATTGAAATTGAATCCACAGATCAACTTGGAAAACCTAACATCTTAACAATATTATGATATAAACATATTTCTAAATCATTTATGTCTTCTTTTTTTAGATGCACTATCCAATAATTCACTGCAAACATACAGAAATACAACAGACATGTATATCTGATCTTGTATGTTAGAGCATTGCTAAACTCACATATTCAATTTTGTATAGATTCCTTAAGATTTTATACAGAGATGATCACATGATCTGTGTATAAAGACTAATTTCTCTCCAATCCATATGCCTTTTTTTCTTGTTTCGCTGCACTGGCTAAAACACCCTCCAGTACAATGTTGAACAGAAGCAGTAAAAGCAGAAATCCTTGCTCCTATACCCAATCAATCCCAGAAGAAAATATTCAGACTTTTACCATGAAGTACAACGTAAATCACAGGTTCTTTCCTGTAAATGCTGTTTATCAGGCTGAAAAGTTTTTATCAAGAAATAAATGTCAAATTTTGCCACACACTTTTTCTGCATCTACTGATATGATCTTATCATTTTTCTTATTTTTAGTCTGTTAATATAATGGATCTTTAAAAGTCACTTATTCCTCAAAGTTGAAATCAACTTGATAGAACCTTTGCCGAATTCTGTGAATTAATAAGCAGACATGAAGACAGCTTCAAGAAACTAGCAAAGCAGAGGTAAGCCATTCCATTCTGTCCAGGCTCTGGTTTGTTACATCACAGCTCCTTTATCTAACAGGGATGCAGAAGTGAGAGAAAGAAAGTCGCACCCACATGGGTCAAGACCCCGTGTTAAAGGCTGATGGGTGACACCGCACAGTGGACAATGACCACACGAGGCCTGGTGGGTCTGTCGCTAAAACCTGATTTCAGGCCAAATCATGAAGGGAGTAATTTAAAACAGGCACTGTAAGCAAAAGAGAGACAATCTGGTAAGCAGGGGAAAAAGGAGAAAGAAAAATGCACAGAGGGCGTCTGCCAGTCCTAGAGTGCAGGGCAGACATCTCGTCGCTGCCTCCTCTCTGACAGACACTGCCACGTCCATGCAAACCACCAGCCCTCAAGCCATACAGGACTGCCCTGTCTGATCTCTCAGCAGAACCACAACTGCGACCACTACAGACCACATGGTCCCAGTCTGACAAATGCCAACTTGTGTCCCTTGAAAGTGCTTTTGAACCCTGTATTGACTCTGCACGTGGGTGTAGGAGGGGCCAGAGATGTGGGACCTCAACCTCAGACTGGCTGGGACACTCACAGAGTCCCAGTGCCCAGCAACACACTGAGCCAGAGGGAGACCAACAGTCTGGCTTGCAAACCCCAAGTTCATCAGGCAGAACATGTCACCTGCTTGTTTCCAGGAAAAGAAAACCCCTCCTGACCTTTGGTACCTCCATGTGTAAGGCCTCCAATTCCCCTGCAGCCTTTGAAATGTATCACCACTGGACTGCTTCTCACCCTGGAAACCTGTTTACAGGTCCAACCAAGCCGGAAACAACAAAACTGGTATCTTTTAGTCAAACAGTTTAATTCAAAAACTCAACTTCCTAAATTAAAGGAAGCACTTCCCTGATACCAAGCTGAAGGATCAATAATGCAGAACTGGAAACGTGTGAACAAATCTCCCACCAGGGAACTTCCCTTCAAAAGGGATTTGTTGTCATACTTTAAAAAAATAACTTAGAATGGTATATAAAAGATTTCAGCACAGTCTTTTTACATTTCATTATAAACATGATATACTAAAATAATACATTTACTCACTTGTCTTTTCGCTTCTCTCAGTTTTCTCTTGAGGGCTGTCAGAATTCTTTGTACTTCCCATAATCTCTCCTCTTTTGATAAATCCTTTATCCCGCCCTGTAGATCTCGATGTAAACAATTCAAAAGAAACTCCTAGGAAGTAATACACCACACACTGAATAGGATATCATGTCTTATCATCTTAAAGCCACATGCCATTTCTAAGACTGACTACTTTTCAGTCATCATTAAAGAAATGACATAATGGCACAGATTGTGTTTTCAAGGCTATGACTGAAAAATCCTCCTTAGCTTTTCTGCCTGAGTACTAGGTTCTAAACCATCAGCACACATTGGTTCCCAGTAATCAATTCACATTCCCTTCCCCCAACATGTCAACTATTAAGAAACAGGAACTTGGAGATGACAGGGGAGAAAAGTGAGCAGGGATCTGATGTGTTACATGCAAACAAAAGATGTAATAATAATCAAATGTAAGTAAATGTCTTAGTTTTGAGTTTCTTACTGGGCTTGCCAAGCACACACAACTGACCAGCGCTATTTGAGAAGGACAGTGGGAAAGCACAGATCTGGGGTCAAATCCTGGTTGTACAACTTGGTAATAACCAGGTGACACACAGTAAGTTATTTACCTCTGCCAACTTTCATTATTCTCATCTGTAAAATAAAGCCAATAAAAGCAGCTTTGTCCAGATAAGGGAACATTTTTGGAATCTTTGCAACATACCTGGCACCTTGCTGAACATTTTTAACACATTACTTCATTTAAGGTCATCTTCAGATCAAACCTAGGAGAGCACTCACTTTTAAATGCAATCCCAAAGCCTTAAGGAGGCTAAGCAATGTGCCTAATTCGGTCAGTCAGGAGCAGAGCAAGAATTTCAAGCCAGGTCTTTTGACTTCCAAATCTGTGCTGTGTACCATGATATCCTGACTTAATGAGCATGAATCAGCACCATGGGAAGTTCTGGCCTTGGTGTGCCATGAAGAGTGTGCCCGAAAGCTACATAAACACAGGAAGTACTCAAGGACCAGGGACTCATGGGCCATCAGCACCCCAGTCTCCCTCAGGGTCTGGGCGAGGGCAGCTCGGAGGCCAGAGGGCAGGCTCAGGTGCCGGAGGGCGGGCGCACACACCTGTCTCCGGATCTCCTCCTTGATGCTCTCCTGGGTCTCAGGCAGTATGGGCATCGTGGCCATGTTAGACCATCGCAGGGGCTTCGTCACTTGCTTCAGTGTCACATTTCCAAAGAGCTCTTGCACGTGTGTGAAAAATACGTAGAGAACACGATTGCTAATCTAAAAAAATAAAAAAGGATTTGCAAGAAAAACATTAAATTCATTTCATTTCATTTATGTCTATTGCCTAAGTACCTCCTTTAATCCTCAGGAGTCACAGGACATGCTTTGCTACTTAATGGCCAATTTAAAGAAGAAAATGAGAAAGTACAGGTTAAGTGGTAGACTCAGCACTATAAGGGACTGGGGGAAAAGCCAAGAAAGGGACACAGAGGCTGATTATCATTGATTTATTCTGTTTTAGCACTAGAGAATTAACTGATTTTTTAAATCCTATGTTCTCTATTTTCCAGTTACTATGAGGCATTCTAACACACACGACTGGATCAACTGAGGAACAGGGGAGCCTGTGGCTACAGAGCTGGGCTGAACACGGGAGCCCCCACTCCAGGGACAAACACCTTCCAGGAAGCTCCAAAGCTCAGACGCTAAGACAGCAGGATGTCAGGTGGCTAAATAGCTAGTAAAAGAAACTGTTTCCTACCTAAAACTTACTCGGACAACGCACCTGCATTTTCTGTGACACCATAATCCCTATTATAGAAATACTAAGTAATAATGTAATATTTACCAAATTCTGAAAACTTGACCGGAAATTTAAGAAACATCTTGTTTCTAAGCTATAAGCAATGAGCAATGAAGGAATCTTCAGTGAAAGAAAATACACTGTTATATGTGACAGTGACCAATAATAACCTGGCGTATTCGCCAAGAGGGCTTAAAACAAAAACTATAACCCCTCTCATTATTCTATACTCTGTTTCTGGCCTGAGTGAAATATCAGTAACTCCAATAAAGGCACTCACACACACTATGCCAGCACCAAGTGAGCAGCAGGAAACAAAGACCAGGAATTTACGTTATAAAGAATCACCACCCACCTCCTTGAAATGCCTCCCCAGGTTAAGATTCTATAAAATACTTTATATAACCTTCATGACTGAAACCCTCAAGTTAAAACCCTGACCAAATGAATAATGTTAGGCCCCCTTGGGCCTGAGTCTGTATGTCTGTGTGACATGATTGAGCAGTAATGCTATTTGATGGAGTAACTGAAATCTTTAAAACTCTGCAGATGAACTGGGACTGCAGGTACCCTGGCTCCTGCTGCACTAAGGACAGGTCACTGTCAATAGGAGCTGCTTACAGACCTACACCCAAACCTGGACAATACTCAGATTTCACAGGCACAACATGCTCACCGCCTTCCATGTCAACACCGTCCACACTGTGAAAGAAAACAGCAACACTCAGGGCAAGCCCTTGCCCGCTGTCCCTGGCCCACTGCTTGGTATATGACTCAGCAATAGGAAGCGCCCTCGCCCCAACCCCAAGGGCCCACACATGTGCCAGGAAGGCCGTGTACCTGCACAGTGGGGCTGAGCACTATGGAAATGTTCTGGATGTTCATTTTCGTTTCCAGTTCCTTGGCAATAACATGGTCCATGTGCACAATGAGCCAGGAGATGAGAAGGCGGCTGCACTCGGGCAGCTCTTCCAGCAGGCGCTGGAACTCCTGCACCTTCTCGGCCTCTGAGCTCCGGCCACACGCCTCCTCGAAGCGAGGCAGGAGCTCCTTGGTCAGCAGGTTCTCAGGCAGGTCCCGCAGGTACTGCTTCAGCAAACTGGCCACCGTGTTCGGCTCATACTCTTCCAAGTTTGGAGACTCCTCTCTGTCGTAGGCTGCTTTCAGCTCATCCACCTTGGATTTAATTCCTGAGAACATTCAAATTCAGAACAAAAAAAAGTATCAAGAAAAAAAAAATCAAACACACAGCTTTCTTCCCCAGCATGCCCACCATCACCCCTGGGGGAGATGGGAAAAGAGCCAACCTGGCATGTTAACTGTTTGTCTGCATATTGTTCACACAATTCCTCCGTAAATAAGATAGAAGACTATACTCAGAAGACGAATTTAGCCAAACGCTAAATGATAATGGAAAAACAATATTCAGAACAAATATCACAGCAAACAAAGAAACACTAAGCAAATACGCCAATCGATTCAGGGAAAATATGTTTTTAAAGATTAAGTAGGCAAAAGTTAAACTACAATTCAAGCATAAGCCTTCCTCTACATGAGTGGCCAACTGCTTTTTCTAACCAGTCACAAGACTAACCATATAAAATACAACTCAGTACACAAAAGCACGCTGCAATGGGTGAGTACTTTTTTATAACCAAAAACTGTATCAAATGGAAAAGGTGAGCTCACCATCTAAACAAACTGTTTGAAAATTATTCCCCAATAAATAATACCCATCTAATTCCTAAGTTTAAATTCTTTACATGTTTTCTTAATCTGAAACAAGGCTAGAACCAAAAAAAAGTGAAAACTGGGTTACTAAAATCAAATTGTTTTGCTTTTCTTACTGGTCAGAAAGAAACACACATAAATGTTTTTCAGACACTAAGTATGTAAGTCTTGACTCCAATCTGCATTTAAGACAGAATTCAGTGACACTGACTACTCGTTCATGATAGCACAAGATAGCTTCCACTGTCTTCAATACTTGAAACTTCAGACTAACGTGTGACGCTATACACAAAAGAATACCACTCAGCTATTAAAAAAAAAGCATGAAATCCTGCCACTGGCAACAGCATGGCTCCACCTGGAGGGTGCTGCTACATGAAATAAGTCAGAGAAAGACCAGTACTTCCTTTATGGAATCTAAGCAAATAAAGCAGTGAATGTACCAGAAAAGAAACAGACTCAGACATAGAGAACAAGTCAGTGGTGACCAGAGGAAAGAGGAGGAGTGAGGGCTAAGCTAGAGAGAGGGAACTAAGAGGTACAAGCTACCATGCACAAAATAAGTACACTCCACAGTACAGCACAGAGAATACAGCCAATCTTTCAAAATAACTATAAATGGAGTGTAATCTTTAAAAATAGTGAATCACTGTGTCATATCTCTGAAACTTATAGAATACTGTACATCAACTATACTTCAATTAAAAAAAAAAACTTTAGGCCAGTTATTAAAAACAAGCCATGAACTGAGGCTGACATTGTAATGGTAAGCATTATAAAACCTTTTAATGGCATCACAATAAATCAGTAACTTAATCCAGCACTGACAAAATAAAACCAGCAATTCCAAATAGGAAAATAATAATATAGATTTTATTTTGCTACAAGCTTCATTTTGAGGTGGAAAAATTAGAAAATAATTCCTATTTTCTTACTTTTCTGAATAGAACATGGTGAGTGCTAACTTCAATTGAAATTCCTCATGACCTCCTCTCTCTCTCTCATGAACATCTTGTAGATATGTAATTTTGCCCCAGCAGTGCCTGCCCAGAAAATGGCACAAGTGAACAATTAGCATATGTGTTTGGTCTGTTACTCGGAAATTGTTACCAAAATGCTTTCCTTTTAAAAACTGAACACTTCAAAGTCCCAGGTACAGAAAGAGCAGATGAAAATAGATTAGTTTTAAAACTAGAACTTGGACATGAATAAGTGCAAATCAAAGTTCTCCATGAGAAAGCGATACTACTAGTATTCAAAAAGCAAAAGTCACAGGCACAGTTCTGCAGTCCAGAATGCTAAATGCAGTGTTCTGCCAGAGCCTCACAAATAAATACAAAACTGATCAAAGAGGGTGCTCATTCTCAAGGAGCCAAGGACCAGGGGAGCAGTTCAGTGTTGAAGAGAAGACATTCCACACCTCCATCCAAAAGAATACAAACATAAAAAATCAGGACAAAGTCCAAAGAATCCTCTGAACAACGCTATAGGAACCTTCAGAGAAGCTTTCACCTAAAATGAAATTTCCTCATGCCTATCAAAATCACGAGCGAGAAGCAGCTATGTTAGTATCATGTAGATCTTTAAAAATCCATCATTAATTTTTCTTAAAAGGCAAGTTTTACATTCAGTTAAATGTGTTTATGTAACTAAGAAGTCATAAGTTAAAATTCAGTGCCTAATTCATTTTCTTATTTTCTTTTTTTTTTTCCATTTATTTTTATTAGTTGGAGGCTAATTACTTTACATCATTGCAGTGGTTTTTGTCATACATTGAAATGAATTAGCCATGGATTTACATGTATTCCCCATCCCGGTCCCCCCTCCCACCTCCCTCATTTTCTTATTTTCTATAAAATAGCAGCTTATTAGCCAAAAGACTCTTAAATGACACGTTATCTGTAGGCTACGTAAAGGTCTCCCCAGTTATCAAACATGCCTGCCCTTTCTTAACAAAGAAATATATCAAATTCTACCTTCAAGAAATGTGCATGAACCAATTAAATGGAAAAACTAAATCTAGTCTCTTTATTCTAAATGTGTATGATCTAACTAATCATGAATATGCATGAGCAATGATGCATGTTACAGCCTCAGTCATGGGAAGGTGATGAGCAACAGCATGGATGTCGCACAGGTAGGACTTGCATCCTGCACCAACACCAAAGCCACACCGCTTTGGAAGAACAGAGTCTCAATTTTGGACCACACATGTCTTGCCTGACTTTAGACACCCAATAGGAATCACACTCCTGCCAAGTATGAGATGTAAGTTTTCACACACACAGAATGTAGGAAAATGGAACCTAGACTTCACTAACTTCATGTCAGAGCCACACCTGACCTAGAGGAATCCACCCCTGGGGTCTAAACACTTAGCAAGAACAGTCCATCCCTCAGATAAACTGAGGAAATATTTACATGACAGCATCAGTCACTGTGTCTTGTGGCCAAGACACATCCTGAACCCAGACGCCAGATGTCCTTCCTCCCCGCTGACCTCCTCCCAGCACCCAGACTCTTGGGGGCACCCAGGTGAGGGGTGCTGCCCACATGCGCCAGTCGCTGCACAATGAACCCACTGTGAATCCTAATGGGGGCGTGGGGATCAAGTAAAAAAGGCAGCGCGCGCATACACATGTACATACACACATGGACACAGCGTGGGGGCCTTTGTTCAACTGGAAGGACCAAGGACATCAATGAGGCTTAGTACCCATGTCACAATCTTGCTCACAAATATCCTGCTCCTTCCTTTGAAACACGGAAGCAAGCCGACTGGTAGCGACTGGTGCAGCCCTCACCTGACACCCTGTAGATGCCCTCGCACTTCATGCCGTGCTTCTCCACATAGTCCACGCACTCCCGGAAGACCGCGGGCAGCCGCACGCCGTCATACATCATGGTCCTCTCCACCGCATCAGCCAGTGGGATCCCGAAGATGGGCCTGAGGCTCGGGACGTCCAGCTGAGGCACCTCTGGCTCCTGAATCGGCTTCTTCTTCTTCTTCTTCTCCTTCCACTGTTTAACCACGTCGGCTGCTGTCAAGTCTTTTGACTTCTTCTCTTTATGCTTCTCCTCTTTGTGCTTTTCTTCTTTATGTTTTTCCTCTTTGGGTTTCTCTTTTATTTTAAAATCCTTCTCTTTCTTTTTAGAAAAGCTGGGCTTCTTGAAGACGTGGATCCCCTTGGACCTCTTCATTTTGGAAGGACTTTCGGCTTCATCCCCCGAACTATCTTCCTGAAAGGCAGCATAGCCTTCAGCTGCCAAAGAAACGCAGGGAGCGTGAGTCACAGCCTGCTGAATGTCACACTGTCCATTTTCTATGTTTAAAACAGGACCAAAGGAGAGTCACCTGGCCTTGGCGACCTAACTTTCCACCTGTGGCCCAGCCCTCCTGTTCTCCCAGCCACTCATCTCAGCTGAAAGGTGGTGTTGTGACATCTCTCAACCACAAGAGGGCAATGTGCCCAGAGATAGTTACCCTTGCAACTGGTTTTATTTTATACATGTATGCAAGAGGAACTTTTACAAACCAAATTACTGTTTATTATTTCAACTTATTTGGAAAAAATCACACCATCAGACACAACGTTCCTTCACAGTCAGAAGAACATCCTCTAACCAATACTCCTCTTAGCTTAGGTTCTCCTATTTGGTTCCTGTAATCTGAAGCCGTCTGCAGTCACAACTGGAGATGCAGGACTGTGTAGGTGCTCTTTTCCTCCCCACCGCACCTGGCTCCCCGGTCTCTGGTTGGTAAGTCCCCTCTGGGGCCAGCAGCAGGGACTGAGCCTCCTCTGGGGAGAAGCAACCAGGAAACCCCTAACCTCGAGCGTCGGCCACGCCCCTGAGTCAGAAGCCTGGGTTTCACACTGACAGCTACTCAGTATCAGAGCTGTCCTAGTTTGGCTTCCTTGTTTTTTGTGTTTTTTTTAAACACCTAAAACTCTCCTGTTCTTTTCTTTAGTCAAATACCTTACAAGCTAAAATAGAGATTTTGCAATAGAGATTAACGGTTTTGCATAAATTTCCCTCTAGTTAAAATACCACGAACTCCACACCAACCAGAATGGCAAAAGAAGAGCAATGATACTGGGTGGCCAAAAAGTTCATTTGAGTTTTTCTGTTACATCTTACAGGAAAACCTGAACTTTTTGGCCAACCCAATAATAAAAAGCTATCATTCTCCTTACAGAAAAGGAATCCCATATAGGTGTGTTGTGGCATCTGCTCAAGAAAACAAATACAAAAAGAAAAAAAGAAAACAAATACACTTTCTTTACCATGTACTCCAACTGGCCTACACAACCTCACCAAGACAGTAAGACTCCATAAGCACAAAATTTCAACATTTACTTTTCATACATTATTTTTAAAAACCAACTTAAGAAACCTCCACCAGAAAACTTTACCACTTCTGGAAATTCAGTACTTTTACTTGCGATAGTAAGACCCTAAAATACAAAAACTGAGACCTTGAAAAGAAAATATAAAACAGGAGTCCCTGGATATAGGATGGCAGGGACACGTGACCAGAGCAGAACTATATCAGGACTAAAGCCACAGCACAGAGGGAACGGCACTTACTCCTCTTTTCCTTCTTCTTGAACTTTCCCTTCTTCTTCCCATGATCCTTCTCATCGTCAGACACTACGTCGGGAGGCTCGTGGAGGCTGTCGTGGGGGGGTGAGGGCTCGCCTGTGCGGTACAGCCCGGGAAACTTGGTGGGGCTGATCTCCTCAGAGCTGGGGGTGCGGGTGAGCCCGCTGCCATGCTCCACCCTGCGGTGCTCACTGGGGCTGCTGGTGGGGGGCAGGAAGCACTCGGTCATGCTGCCTCCCTGATGACAGCGAGGAGGGCTTCTCGGTCACCTATCCATCACACCTGCGGGAGACAGAGCATCACGGTCACCTGGTGACCACCAACACCCAGGGGCAGCAGACAGATGCACAGCTCGGCAAACACCCCCTTAAGAACCATTGCTGGTTTTGTCATCTTGAGTTGCATTCGTGCATCACACATGCACGTTGGTTCTCAAAAAGCTGAAAGCACTGGATCTTCAAGTGTGAGGAAAATTAACCAAATGAAAGGACATAGGACATCAAGACTGGACACAGTTTCTCCTAAAAAGAGCCCGCTGCTGAAAGGGGTTTCATTTTGATTGGTATCCAACAGAAAACCTTAATTTTTCTTAAGTTATGACCAAATAACCATGAATAACAAGAAGACTCTTATAAACTATACATGAATAGTTCAGTATCATAAGTAAAATTTACAAAACAGTTAAAGTGACAGAAGTAGTGATTAACACAGTTACAGATCATTAGCTGCAGTTACATACTGCATTAGACAATCCATGTGTTGATACAGCTAACAAAGGAAGAGCCTCATTTGCTCATTCCTAAACTATACACAAAACAGTTTTGCTAGAATGGACACTACAAAGGACAAATGTGGGTAAATAACAAGGTTCTACTGCACAGTACAGGGACCTGTACACAGTATCACATGAGAAACCAGAATGCAAACTATGAAAAAGAACACATGTGTGTGTGTGTATACGTATAACTGAGTCACGGTGCCGCACAGCAATTACTAACACAACACTGTAATCCAGCTATATCTCAATAATAAAATTTTTGAAAGAAATAATAAAAAAGTACAAATGTAAGAAAAGTTCAAGATCTGGTCACATTTTTCTTCTTTAGACAATGGTACACAGTTTAAAGTACCATGTTCAAAAGTAAATTGTGTTAGTTCTTAATCCTCTTTAATGTTTTTATAATATTCATTTGAAATACTATCAGAATCACTTGTTTCTCTTTGCACTGACTTAAGGTGATTTTGAAATTTTAAAAACACACAAACACAAGTGATTACTGATAAATCTGACCATAAACAAAGTCAAAAGACAAGCAAATATGAAAAAAAATGTGTAAATTATGATAGCAAACTTTTCTAAAAAGCAGAGTTCTCACATATCAATGAAAATTTCAACATAGCAAGAATGTGAAGCAGTTCACAGGAAAATGACTAATATCCACATGAAAATAACTATTCAAGTACAATTGCAATTTTAAGAACTTAAGACAGTAAGTTAGAATTTTTATAACATCAGACTGGCAAAGAACAAAAAAGGTCTATAATATACCAGCATACCAAGTGCTGGTAAGGATGTAAATATCCACTAAGGGAGAATTTCCACTAACAGCTGAAGTATGAACCAGCACAGTCTTTTCTGAAAAGGAATTTGGCAAAATCTATCAAAATTTTAAATGTGCTCTCTTTGATCTAAGAACTCCTCTTTCTAGGAACTTATCCTTCAGATATCCTTTTACAAGCATTCAAAGATGTGCACCTGAAAACAATCATTTTAGCATTGTGAAAGCAAAGACAGCAAAATCTAAATGGCTATCAATAAAAGACACATTAAATTAGGCTTGATCCAGATAATGCAATGTAAAAGTCACACACAAGCCATCTCTGACATAATTAACCATTGTTAAGTCTCCTAAGTTGTAAAAGAGAAGGGAGAGAAAGATTTTATTTTGAGCCTTACCATGCCCATCTATCACTTGTACTGCTATTATCACGTTTTTCAAATGAACAGGCCATGTTTTTTTAGTCTCATAAAAATTGTTTTTGACGATATTTAATAGTCTGAGGAAAGAAATTTACAGCACAGTATCAACTTTTAAATACATAAGCACACGAAAAATGTAAGAACAAGGGAACTTTAGTGATAATTATCTCTGAATTATAAGGTTATAAGTGATCTTTTCACTTTTTTGCATTTCATCAGTTTTCTACCAGTACAGTATACACTACTACTTGCCTAAGCAGGAAAAACATTAAACGAAAAATTTCATCAAAGGAACTGTAAGCATCGCTGTCACTCTAATTCTCTGGTTTTACCTCATGAGTCCTGATGTCGGCTTTTTTTTTTTTTGTAAGTACATTCTTTTCTTCCCATAACTGAAGGGATGAGAGTTTCAACGGAGCTAAGATGTCACCTGCTGAAGCTGAAACTCCAGTACTTTGGCCACCTCATGCGAAGTGTTGACTCAATGGAAAAGACTCTGAAGCTGGGAGGGATTGGGGGCAGGAGGAGAAGGGGACGACAGAGGATGAGATGGCTGGATGGCATCACCAACTCGATGGGCATGAGTTTGAGTAAACTCCGGGAGTTGGTGATGGACAGGGAGGCCTGGCATGCTGCGATTCATGGGGTCACAAAGAGTCGGACACGACTGGGCGACTGAACTGAACTGAAGATGCCACCAGCCTATTGGTTATACATCACAGGTGAGGAAACTGAGGTCTGAAGACCAGAGAACCAAAACACAGGTGTGGGAAGGAGCACAGCTTGACACAGCCCCGGGTCGCACACCTCCCTGCGCTCTGTCTCCTCCGCGCCCTGGGACCCAGCCATCCTTCCAGGATTCCAGCTCAGCCAGCTCATACTCGTCTTTCCACATTAGGCCCACAGATGGGCAAGAGGAATCTTTCTGGAGTGATGGGAACAGTCTAGATTTGGATTGTGGGATGGTTACAAACTGTAAATTGACATTTTAAGTGGGTGAAATCTTATGGTATACAAATTACACCTAAATAAAGCTGTTAAAAAAAGGATCAAGTACCAGCACCCCTTTCTCCAGGAATCCCTACTCATGCCTCACTCGGCCCAGGCTAAGCCGTGCCCGCCTCCCGAGCTACAGAATCAAGGCGCACGCACACCTGGACGCCACACTGGGCCTTAAGGACCTGTGCATGGGGCCATCTTTCCCAGTAATTCGCAAGCCCAACATTTAACACAGCACAGGCTGCACGGGAAGTGGTCAGATGTTTCCTTAACTAACTAAACCCACTAACAAGTCTCTTCCTCGCTCTCAACACTGTATCCCGCGGACGACACAAAGACGAGGAGAAATGACCTGGCTCTCAGCCTCAACTTTTAATTACAGAAACAAAGAAAGGAAACCCATATTTTATTTGAATTCTGTGGCTTCAGGAACTTTCACATCAACCTGACATGGCCTGTGAGAAAAGTGTTTTTCCAGGTTTACAAACTGTAGAACTAAGGCTCAGCGAAGTGAAGTAACTTAACCTATGCCACACAGCAAGAGCTAAAACTGGGATGTGCTTGACGGAAACACACATTCTTTCCACTAAAGTGCCCTCTGTGAACACATGTGCACACACACACATGAGCACACTTATGCCCGGAGGAGCAGCACATTAATGACACAAGCAGAAACGTGGGACTTGTTCTGAGAACAGCAAGAAGACAGGTCTGATGGGAGCAGATTCATGAAGAAGCAACAGAAAAGACATGGAAAGACAAGATGGGTCTGAACTGAAAGCCAGCTGGTGCCGAGCTGAGGAGGTCAGCACCAAGTTCAAGTCCAGGAGTGACAGGCTGGGGCTGAGAGGCATAAGGGCAGGACCACGAACCGCAGAATGCAGGCGGGTCTGGCCCACCCCCCAGTCTGTGGTCTGCATGCTGGGCTGACAAGGAAGAATCCTGTTTCTGACATACTGAAGAGATGATGCAAAAACCACTCCGGAGGAACAGCTGCTGCCCCAACTCGGCCACGAACGGCTGGGAGGAGCGGCCACCGGTGCATAGGACGGAGCGAGGCGGGCACGGAGGTGCAGGGACGGTCCCGAGCTCAGGGAGCCACAGCACACCTCAGCGTCCTGAGTGAGTGGGCAGAAGAGACAGGCCTCGAAGGGTCCACGGTGACTTTCAGCATAAACAGCCGAAGGTGAGGAGAAAAAAAAAAGAAATTCCTACTTCTGAGGCAAGAGGAGAAGTGATGTAAACTTGTCAACATTTAAGAAAGATGCCAGCACAGCTAAGAAACAGACCGCACACTGACAGGCAAAGAAGGCAGACAGGACCTGGCCTCGAGATACGAGGACCAACACTGTTCCTGGAGGGTTCTTTTTGCCTTTGCATCGCAGACTTGCAGCAAAAGATGCCAGAAACACCAGTGATGACAAAAGCCAGCCCTCTCAGCTGAAGGACCAGAAGTGGGCGGTCCTTCCAGACAGAAAACTTCAGAAGACGCAGTCTACTCCATCCAGTAGACAGACGACAGCGCCTACTCTGTGATCTACCCCACCACAGAGACATAACCGTGACAGTATGGCACTCCAGCAAGGGCGGACAGGTCAGTGAACAAAACAGAAGCTTCGCAGAGGCACGCATATACAGTCAGCTGCCTGTCAACGAAGGTTCCAAAGGAATTCATGGGGCAAGGAAAGTCTTCAGCAAGTGGCGCAGAGTAACCACGTGGGGAAGAGAGGTCACCCTCCATCGCATCACCATAAAGTGTGCGTGACAAACTAGACACAACAGTTCACTGCTAACAACTTAAAACTTCTAAATAAAACACATTTGTGAGACCCTGGGGGTAGAATTTCCCAGACAGGAACAGAAAGCAATTAACTACAGAATTAAAAGTCCACAAACTAGACTTTTTATCAAAAACAAAAACTTTTGCTCATCAAAAGACACTAGGAAGAAAATTAAGAGTCAAGGCCAAGACGTGGAGAACACACTTACAGTGTGTGTGTGTGTTTGTGTCTCACAAAAGACTTAAATCCAGGATATATACAGAACCTCTACAATATAACAATAGACAATCCAAAACAAAAACAGGCAAAATCAAGCAAACAATTTACAAAAGAAAATCTATGACTGGTCAATAAGCCCATGAAAAAACCTTCACATCACTAAACATCAAAGAAATGGAAATTAAAACCACAACAAGCTATCAACAGACACCATCCCAAACGGCTGAAGTGCAAACAGAACTATAATTC